CTCGCTTGAGCCCAGGAGTTGGAGGTTGCTGTGAGCTGTAATGCCACGGCACTCTACCCAGGGGGACAGCTTGAGGCTCTGTCTCAAAAAAAAAAAAATAAAATAAAAAAATAAAAACTTTGACTTTACTTTCAATATGTAATAGAATAAATTTAGACTTGTAATTACCACATATTTCCACAAGGTGGAACTCTTGATGTTAGGTTTTTTTTCTTTTCATTTCAATTGTCAAAAAATTACAACATTTCCAAGTCCTTTTAAATCTTTTTTAGATATACTTTTTACAAAGTCATATGATGTAGTACTCTCCTTATTACATTAGCTTAAGTTTTGATTCTATATTTAATTTCCTTTCACAAAATTACCAATAAAAATTTTAAAAATCTTTTAAGCTCCTTAAAAAGAGAATTTCATGATTTAAATGTTGCTACTTTAATAAATTTTTGTAAAAATAGAAACAAATTATTTGTAAAGTCATTGCATAAAACTTCATTATTGAATACTAGTAATGAAGAATTCTCATAATTCATATGGTCTTTCTGTTATTGAATAAAGCAAAAAGCTCTTTCTAAGTCTTAAGGCTCTTAATTCTATAAACTTACTCTTTGAATTTATACTATGTGTGCAAATATAAATACATACGCATGTAGACTTACTACTACCACGTGACTTATGTGTTGCTTTTTAATTTTGTTCCTCCAACTAATTTGAGAGGTATTTGGGATGTGATCTGCAGGTACAGAGTAAATATACTTGATTCCCAGATTTAGTTTCTCTCTTAACCCTTATAATACCTGATTTACAGAGAAATAACGAAATGCCATGTACAGGAATTTATAGCTTAATGTTTATGGTTAATAAAACTATAATGGTAGAAGTTAGATACTATAGCCAAAAATTTTGATTCAAATGAAAATATCTGCTAGTTTTAGAATATCTTAAAACCTTTGAATCTGAACCAGTATCCTGTAAAGTATCCTGTACTTTACCTTAATTTTTTTTTTGCAGGTTTTGGTCAGGGCTGGGTTTGAACCCACCACCTCCGGCATATGGGGCCGGCGCCCTACTCCTTTGAGCCACAGGCGCTGCCCCTTTACTTTAATCTTTACCTACGGGCCTTTAGTTGGATAAAAAATCTAACATGTGGCTCAGCGCCTATAGCTCAACCGGCTGAGGCGCCAGCCACGTACACCTAAGGTGGCGGGTTCGAATCCCCAGCCCGGACC